CTTATAAGAACACTAACAGCAAATGCATTATCTGATCTTGTAGATGTAGCCAAATATAAAAGTGCTCCAACTACTGCGAGGTATGGATATTCATCTCCGAATATTTCCTCCTCCTCCTCGCATGGATGGTATGGATCATGACTACCATGACCACATTCAACCATTGGTATGGACAATAGATAAGCATCAATCATATTGAATCTTCACAAGATTCGTCTAATATACATTAGTTGGTGAAGAAAAATACTACCATTTGTGAGATGTATAATTTGAAGACCAATACAAAAAGTTATTTTTCTTAGAATTTTTATCTCAAATTCACATATAAGTAGGTTAGTAGCTACAATACATGCAGATTTAGTGCCCACTAGATTAAGATTATCAACATATACAACAATGATTACAAAACCAGTTTTATCTCATTTGATAAACAAACAAGGAAGTAGTGGATTATTTACAAACTTATTTGTAATTAAATAATCTCAAAGATAATACCACATGTGTTCGGATTATTTAAAATCATACAAGGCCTTACATAATTTAATACCATGATATTATCCTGGAGCATATCTATTTGGAGTCCCTGTTTCTGAGCCAAGTGGAACTTTCATATGAAAATTTGTATTAAAAGAACCTTATAGATATGTAGTTACCACATCCATCAAATGCATCTCAAAGGTGGCATGAACTACCATTCCAATAATATATCGAAATATAATTGAATCCATGACTGGAAAATATGTGGATTCATAGTCAATGCTAAATCGTTGAGTAAATCCTTGAGCAACAAGACGAGCTTTATAGAAGATTATTTGACCTTGAATATCTCGCTTGCATGTTAATACCATCTTATATCTAATAGGATGAGATGTAAGAGTATCTATAATTAGACCAAAGACTTTTCTCTTACGAAAAGAGGCATACTCTTCCCAATAACAGTTTTTTATTTTGATCAATTAGAGCGACGCATCGCTTCCTTGATGTTTTGAGGTTCAAGATCATCTTCTTTACATGAAAAGGCTTCTATAATCATACATGCAAATGATTCATCTACCATAATAGATGGTCTGTCCCAAATATCATCTATAGCATAATACAAAATAGATAATTCTTTACTCAACTTATTCTTATTCTTTCTAATTTCAAAATTATTTTTCACAAGAATTGAAGGTACATTATGCATAGATATATCATCATGAATTGGTGGTCCTATAGGATGAGTGAAAATTTCTTGAAAAATAATACCAAGATTATTCAATATTATAGCTTACTTTTTATGTGATTGCTTATCTAGTCCACAAGTTCTTTTAGTTGCTGTTGTTATAACTTGAGGTATTGTAGCCAATCGCACTGCAATTTGAGTAGGTGCATTTTGAGCCTCATTAATAGGAACTCTTGTAATTCTAGATGCATTATTGAAGCCATCAGATGTTTCATCTGCGATCTGTTTTAGATTCAAAAACTTAGCAACTTCAATTTCAGCCAAAGATGTCATATGATTGGAATTCATTATAAATGTTTCCAATGCTTCAAATATAAGTATTTTATTTCTTTGTTGATTTAATACTCTTCTTTCAAGAGATAGGAATACATTCTCTTCAAAATGATAATTTTGCAAACATGCACATAATAATGTTCTAGTTGATGAATCAATAATACGAATAATGCTTGATGAATCAAAACCAACATATATATCTTCTTGTTGATGAGTTCTGATGGTATGTCATTGAGGTTTTGGTACTGGAATCCAAATACAACAACCAAATACTCATAAGTGAGATATATTTGGAACATGATCGAAAATAAACTCATGTGGTGAAACAATTTGAAAAAAAGAAGGGCAAAGGCATATTCATGCTGCAGCATGTAAAACTCCATGAACCCTCATAGATGCAAGTAAATTTGCATGAAGAAAGAGTGGCCAGGTAATCAGTTGTATACGCTTTATAAATAACTCTGCAATTCCATTTTGAGCATGTTCATTTAAAACACAACATGTCAACTCAATTCTTGTTGCAGTACAATAGTCTTCAAAAGACTTTGAAGCAAATTCCTTTACATTATCCATACGCAATGTTATTATAGGATAATCAAGAAAATATGCCTAAAAATAAATAAATATAGATATAACATTGGCAAATACCATGTTTTGAATTGATAATAATAAAAACATGTGATTGTTTACTTGATGCATTAACAAGGACCAAAAAATAACAAAATCGTCCTGATATTGGATTAATAGGACCAAAATTATCATCATGCAATCTTTCAAGTATTGATAGTAGTTCTTGTGGGAATTTTTAAATTGAAGGCCAAGTAATCATCTTACCTTGCATGCTATCAAATTACGTATTGTCTTACTCGAGAATGCACCAAGCACCTATCTATGGAAGGTGAGGTTGTGTTTTACAAGTAGCCAAGAAATCCTACTAGATTTCATCCCTACGAGAAGAGTATAATCTGAATTTTAATTCAAAAGTTCTAAAAATAATCTTCTTAATAGCCTTAACTATACGTAAATCTCAATTACCTTGTTACTTTTATATTTAAGCAATTTAGATTTTTCTTGTAAGCCCCAATCATAATCAATGAGCTTTAACGAGCTGTAACATCCAATCTGACCATTCACTTGATATAAAATTTTGCATCCAATTGTCAATGTAAGTCTTCTATATGCTCAAGGTATTTTAGTCCAATCCAACTTAAAAATTGTGAGAAAACTTCCAAAAACTGCACTAATATCACTTGGCCACTAACTTGAAAAGTGAAGCAAAAATTCTAGTAGTGATTTCTCTTTTTTCAACTATTAACTTTGACTCAAAATTGGTACGTAGCCTGACCTTTAAGTCCTTCAATACCATGCCAAATTTCACCTTGATCCAACTAATAGATCTCTAGATATCACAAAAACTCTATCCAACCTCAAACTGCCAACTTCCAAAACCTTCTTGTGCTAAAATCCAAATATCTCTAAATTACATCGTTAGATTATCACAAAATTTTGTATACACTTAGCACACCTAATAATCCAAATAGTATCAAATTTTTAACAGTAGATGTTATACCAATGGTACGAACTAGCTAAAATTGCTAGCCCTAATTATCTTATATAAAATCCAAATCACCAATACAAACCTTGACTTTGAACAATAATTGCTAAGTCCTTAAAAACCTTCCAAAAATAATCCTTATGTTTTTGAAAAGAATTTCAAGGTAGCTCTCAAATCCTATCCTTGAACTTCAAATGAATCTCTATTTTGCCCTAAGCTATCATTTTTGTGGCTAGAGGTCTGATTTCAACCCTGTCTCACAAATGATCAATCCTTGGGTATCAATCTAACCTATCCTAAGGATTTTTTAGCCCAATCCTACTCTCAACTTAACCCTAGTACCAACTATATTAATTATTTATCTCTTCTAACTTGATTTTATCAATTTATGGTCTTTCTAAGGTAGTAAAAGTGTCTCTACAACCTAAAAGATAAAATTACTAACTAACTTTCAACTTACTAACTATTAAGATAAGAAAATAACCTAAGAGGCTTTTATAAAATCCATGTTTAGACACCTCAAATTATAATGGAATTATGATAATTAAATATTATTTAAAAATTTAATTTTGATTATAATTTCACTATATAGTCGTATTACATCACAACAATGCATGCATGATATAATTTCATTGAGTCTACATCCGCAGGCTTTAAATTGTGCCTAGTTATGCATGGAATGATCTTTCTAAATAATGTAGATTTTGAATGTCCCAATCATCCATGCTAGAGAGAAGCATGACTCTTTGTAATAGATGGAGTAAAATTAAATATAATAGGAGGTTGAATTGCAATTTAGTATAAACCATTTTTTGTAGCAAAAGCTTTTTCAACAACTTTATGGTTCTTTGCAAGAACCAAAACCTCTTTTTTATTTAAAATAGTAGTCGAGATGTGATAACCATTAATACGCACATCTTGGTAGCTGATCAGACTCTAAGGTGTTGAGGGTACAAACATCCCATGTTTATATTTTATGATTGCAGCAAGCAGTAGGGTGGCAGCACTAGGATGGTAGGGTGGTAGCGGCGGTAGTAGACGGTTAGCAACGGTGGCTGTTTGACGGCAATCTGCGACAGTTTGGCAACATGGAGATTGAGTTGAAGCAAGTATTCTAAGCAAGCAGGGTAGAAAGTGGAGTAAGTACTCTAAGTAAGCAGCTAATGTGTGAGGGGCGAGCAAGAAGTGCAACAAGATTATGAATCAGATAAGGAGCAAGAGTAGCAACAAGTTTAAAGAGTTAAGACTAGAGCAAAAAAAATTATGATAGTGTATAGAAGAGAGTCATGCTAATAACATATTGAGAATGTTTAGAAAGACACAAGAGTAGTAGTAAATAATACACACACACACACACACACACATACACATATACACACACAAGAGTAGTAGTAAATAATACACACTTAGACACGAGCAGTAGTAAATAATACAAAGTCACACGCACAAGAATAATAGTAAATAATATACACACACACAGACACAAGAATAGTAGTAAGTAATACATACACACTCAAGAATAATAGTAAGTAATACACACACACACAAGAATAGTAGTAAGTAATACACACACACATACACAAGAATAATAATAAGTAATATATACACACACAAGAGTAGTAGTAAGTAATACACACACACACACACAAGAAAGTTTCTAAGGAGAAAGATAGAACTTCACCCAAAAAAATCTATTGATCTGGTTGTGTCACATATATAAGAGAGGGAGAGAGGACAAATAGTTCCTCTCCACTACATTCCAAATACTGTAGCTATAGTATTTACTATAGACTACAGTAAATATCATGGAGAGTGCCGGCTACATTTAATGCTCTCAACAAATA